TTTATAAATTAAGTGGGAAGAGACATCTGACTTATTCTCCAAGGCATCTAGTTGACTAGATCCAATTGGAATTCTTTGAGTTCCTGAGAAGGGGCTACTTAGCATTTCACAATCCCTGATTAGACCTTGAGTTTCTTGCTTTTCTAATCCTAGTATGAAGAGTTATCTAGTGGCAACCTTTCTTTCACACTTAAAGCTTGGGTTTCTTTTTTTGTTTGTTTTTTGTTTGTTCGTTTGTTTTGTTTTGTTTTTTGGCAATTCCTTTGAGAGAGGCTGTATGTCCTGTCATCTTTACTTTACTCATGCCCGATATGATTGTTTTAAATTATAGTAAATATCAAATAATTCTGTCTGTTACACTGACGCCATTCCGGTGTTATTATATTTTATCTGCTTAATTTGATATTCTTAGAAATGATGCAGTGCATGTTGGACACAAATTAGATGTTAAGGGAGTTTATCAATGTGTCCACAGAATAAACCAGGAAAACAACAATAGGCCAAGACTCTTTGCTGGTGGATGCAATGAGCTGAAAGAGGGAATTAGGATAGGATTTATTTTTAACCCTGACCCTTAACTTTTCTCTCCTAGAATACAAGCAGGTGCTCAATGAATGTGTTGAATAAATACTTATTGAAAGAAACCACAGGAGGCAATATCTGCATATATTAGTACTGAAAAAAAGCCTGGGCATTTGGGGGAGGGTCTGAATGCTAGAGCACTACCCATTTACATGGCAAGCATGGCAAGATTAAGGCCACTTGTCAGCCTGTTGCTGGAATAACTTTGCAAGAAACCAACACTTGACCCTCTGCCAGGCAGAAGGTCAGCCCAAGAGGGAGCTGATTTGTAGACATAACACCATCTCTCACCCAGGAGGCTGGACCCACTGTAAGCTCTGCTATATTATTTCGCTGAGGATGACAGGTGGGAAAATCTGGGCACCAGTTGTTCTTTTCCACTGGTATCATTTGAAGGGTAGCTCCAAAGTCGGGCACGCCATCCTACGTGCCTCTCCTGTCGGCAACAGGTCCACATTAAAGCTATTAGTATGTGGGCTCTGTACACTGGCCAAGCCCATGTCTCAGATACTATACCCAGAGCACAGAGCAGCCCTGGGGCTACTGAGGTCAGCAAGAGAGTCATTCTCTTATTCAATCCATCTTTGGCTGGGCAGAGGTTCTAAGTCTTGATAAGCAGCATTTGATTTTATGCTATGTGGCTTTTTTAAAAAAATGGAAGCAAATTGGAATTAATTTAATTTTGAGAAAAATGACAGAAGCTCCTACAAGATGGGCATAGATATCCCTAGACTTCCATAAAGTCTAAATATTGAGTGATGTAAATTCCCTTCATTTTCCATTTTCCTCTTTGTATTTCCCTCAGCACTCTGCATGTTCTCACCTATGTACACCCCAACCAACACAATGTTTGGACAACTTGACTTAACGTACCTATTTTCTTGAGAATTATGTTTATTCCCTCTAGCACAACATGTTGAATTATTCAATTTGAACATTTAAAGCAAAAATCCCAATATTATTTACCTTTCTGTTTTGAGGTTTTATGAATTCTGTGGCATATTTATATCGCTGCTTGGATTCCTATTTCAGAAGTCAATATAAAAACTGAACAAAAAGCAGCATGCGTTGTGAATGTGTTGAAATGAAAAACCTACTATTATCGATAGTAGCGAAGCAACATTTCCTCTGTCATTTCTTTTATACTTTCAGGGGGGTAAAAAAATGAATTGTACTTGCAATTCAGAATGTTGCTACTAGGTGGCAGTAGTGCACAAGAACTAAGAAAAAACTAGCAGGTCTTCCTATATTTATAAGAAATAAACATATACTATTAAATAATTCTGACTGATTTAAGCATCCACTAACTTAATTATTATTTTAAGCCTAGATTTTAAAATAGAATGTATTCTCGACCAAAAGTTAATAAATTTAAATTTTGGGTAGGTATATATTCATAAGTTCAAAAATCTACAGATTAAAAAAAGTGAAGATTTTCTCCCATGCCTATCTTCCAACCTCCATAGGTAACTAATTATATAGTTTCTTAAGTACCCTTCCAGAGCTTCTCAATGCAAATACAAATAGACACAAATATATATTCTTGTCCCTCCCTGTTTTAACAATACAAATCTGTAGAGTTTCTGCATTATTTTTATATAGTTGCATAGTATTCCATTGTATGAGTGTTGTATAATGTATTTAACCAGTTCCCTACTGATGGATATTTTGTGCTCTATTTTATGCTATGGCAACCAATGCTATAGTGAATAACTACATGATTGCATGATGTCACGTGTAGAATAATTCTCAGAAGTGAAATTTCTGGATCTAAGTTATATACATTTGTAATTTTAATAGATATCACCAAATTGGCCTCTACAGAATTTGTACCAATTTATATTTCACTGTCTCTAGAACGGGTCTCTTTCCCATAGCCTTGCTAACAGGGTGCATGATCAGACTTTGGAATCTTTCTAAAGCTGATTTGTTGAACAAAGTATCTCAAACCACTTTTAATTGTCATTTCTTTTTCTTTTTTTTATAAAATATATTTTATTTTATTGATTTTATTGATTTTTTACAGAGAGGAAGGGAGAGAGATAGAGAGCTAGAAACGTCAATGAGAGAGAAACATCGACCAGCTGCCTCTTGCACACCCCCCTACCGGGGATGTGCCCGCAACCAATGTACATGCCCTTGGCCGGAATCGAACCTGGGACCTTTCAGTCCGCAGACCGACGCTCTACCACTGAGCCAAACCGGTTTTGGCTAATTGTCATTTCTTTCAGATGAGTGAGCATACCCATCTTCTATGTTTAAGGACTATTTGTATTTTTAAATGTCCTTTTCTGTGGAGAAAATGCAAATGCTAACAAATACAACTATCTACGGAGTTTTGTTGTTGATGTTGTTACTTGTTTTTTACTATCATGCTATACATGTTTTTCTTTCATTTGTTTTGCTCATTTGACCATATCTGCTGGTCACGGCTCTGAAGAGAAGGAGCTGGCAGTGGGAAGGGAGGGGCAAGACTAGACTGTCTGCTTTTCCCGTTATCCCTTTGCCATTGGCTGCTGGGGAAAATATCTGTATGCTGGAGTGGTGAAAGGAGAAATCTAATAAATTCTCTTTCTGAGACTAATTAAGGCTTCAAAGAGACAGATAACCCACTTGGGATAACATAGTCATATTTAAACTCAGGAAATGGTCAGTATTAATGCAGTTTCTGAACATCGAACCCCCCCAAAAGCACTGGCTCTTTGAACTGAAGAGTAATGTGCACAGGAAAACCTAGACTTTTGAAATGAAAACAAAAAAATGCTCTTCTTATCTTTTGCTAATGTGGAGATTAGGGCTCTGTCTTAATCAAACTTAATGAGATGTTTCCATTAGCATGCACATAAAAGAAAATGGCACAAAGTTGTATGAAAAGATGGTATCCTCAACTTTAGGGTTTCTTCTGCATATGAAGACGGTGTTAACTGACTCTATAAGTATCAGGTAGTGACATTTTAGAGCAAGAGGGAACTTTATTTGCCATGTTTTTCAACTCCTCTACAGGTGAGGAAACTGGGGCTGGTACCGTTTAAATGAGCTGTGCAAGGTCCCCCAGATAATGAATGACAGTACTAGGGTCCAGGTAGGTCCCCTTGTTACTGAATCCTGCTCTTTCTTCAGTTTAAATAACCCCTGTGAAACACACGCTGAGGTTTTGTCATTGCCAAGAACGTGGTGCTCTAAAATAGGCCTATTAACACATACTTTTCTGCTTGGGATCCCCTGCCCCACATTCACAAGGCAGCTCATATGTTCTTTTTATTTTGGATGTAATGTTAGATTGCCCCCAACTTTCCTAAATGTTTGAAAACATTTTTTATACTGTATATAGTCTGTTGTGATAAAAAAAAAAAAAGTATCAATGTTGGCTATGGGTTATTGAAGTGATTTGGGGGGATCTCTGGCCCCCAGTCCTTAGTCCAAGAGGTATATTTAAAAGAACAAAGCCAATTTCAGGAAAACTGGTATAGCATGATCCCATTTTAATGGTAGTTTTCCACCCCAATGACCACTTATTTTTTTCAAATTATGCCATGTGCTCAGGCTACAGAGACTGCAAAAATGTGTGACTGTATTGGCAAATACCCATATTGTTATGACCACACTGGAGGCCAGTTGGCATGATGTGTATATCAGATGCAGTTTGTCATTGATACTAGGTGCCATGGGGCTTAAAAGAAAAACAGGATGAGCCTAGAACTGGAAAACTAGGTGGGTGGATGGGTATGGACTTAGAAGTGGAAAATGTATTTCCTTTATATGGGAGATGGCTTGTGTTCATTAGTATTGACCTTTCTTCTTTCTATCCCTGTAAGCTGACGTTGACAAAAAGCTTACTTAGAAACTGAATAGATTCCACCAACCGGGAATAAGGATGAGACCACCCGATTCAGTTATGCTGTGGCCACAACCACATGTTTAATTTTTACCATGGGTTGAAATTATTCTTGCTTGTAGGAACATGGACTCCAGCAATTAAAGTCAACACATACTCCCATTAAGCCATTGTTTCCACTTCCAAATGGTTATAAATATGGAGCATAAGCTATGGAGGGGGTGTGGAAAGGATGACAGTTTATGCTAATGACGCTCTAGAAACCAGTATTCTCTACTTGAAATGACATGGAAAAATTCTACTCGATATCTCCTGGGTTCCGTTAGTTTTTCTCAGTAAATGTTTCTGGGGAAAATAATTTCTGTTTTCATTCCAGCTGTGCAGCAGATAGAATGATGATGGATTGCAAGTGCAAAGAGTAAGACAAAACTCTGGCATACAAAGGACAATGACAACCAGAAAGCTTCAGCCAGATCCTGCCCGTTCCTTGGAAGGAACTGGATCCTAGGAGGTGAAGGCATTTCTGATTTTTAGTCCTCTGCCTCCCTCTGCTGTTCCTCTTGAGAAGTTTTTCCTTACAACAATGAGAAATCATGTACTAGCTGCATCCTTTTCTATGCTCTCCCTGCTGGCACTAATGGGAGATACAGACAGCAAAACGGACAGCTCCTTCATGATGGACTCAGACCCTCGGCGTTGCATGAGGCACCACTATGTCGATTCTATCAGTCACCCACTGTACAAGTGTAGCTCAAAGGTAAGACCAAGATCTCTGTGAGGGTAGCATTACTTCTAGAAACAGGAGAGAAACCAGATCCCTTTGTCAGGGGATGGAGAAATATGAGGATAGCTCAAACCAGAGCTGTCCCATGGAGCTTTTAGAGAATCATGAGCTTACGGTTTCTCACCACGCTTTGCACTTTTGTCAGTAAAGCTGCCTAATTAAGCATGTGTACACGCAGCCAACTTCTCTCTTTTCGGGCTGTTCAAAGTCAATAGGAAAAGCTGGAAGGTTCTCACAATAAAATTGATGCTAAACAAAAGATAGGAGGGGTGCGTTTCATCCTTGGTTGTGAAATTTATGAGCAGTAGTGTCCTTTCTCAAGAAAGAAAAATGGAGTCTACAAGTTATTTTAACACTTTGTACTTCCACCGGGAATAAAGAAGAAAGGAGTGAGGCAATGTAAAAAATAGGGTTGATCTGTGAAATGTACTCCTTGAGAGGCTCTTCACAGAGTTTCCTGATGAAATAGTTGGTCATTGGCCTTGTGGTTCAAGCCTTTCTTCATCTTCTATGTTTATGTAAAAGCTAGAGGCCCGGTGCATGGATTTCTGCACTGGTGGGGTCCCTCAGCCTGGCCTGTGGGGATCAGGCCAAAACTGGCAGTCTAACATCCCCTGAGGGGTCTCGGAGTGCAAGAGGGCAATCTGCAAAGTTGCTGTCGCTTGGCAGCTCCTGCATTGAGTATCTGCCCCCTGGTGGTCAGTGCGTGTCATACCTACTGGCCAGTTGGCCAGTCTTTTAAGCTTTGATTTGATCAATTGTCATTTTTATATTGATTATCCAAATCACTCTTGTTGAAGTAGATTGTATGCTTTTTGCACAGGCAACCTATGCAACTGATGTCTGAGTACTGAGACAAGTTGTGGGAAGGAACACCATGCTTCAAAGGTCACCAAAAGTGACCAGCCACATGGACCACCCAGAAGGGAGGCTCACAGTAGAGAAGAGCAGACTTAGAATGAGAATTCTCATGGCTGTCACCGTCCCAGTCACATGAATGAAATTTGCCCACATTTGGTAAATAGGAATTTGTTTAGGCCAACCTCAGAGATTTTCACTTTTAATCCTGGAACTAAAACCACTTAAACATTCTCATATGGCAAATATTTTTTAAATTACCAGTATAATTAAGAAGTTTTTGTAATATCAACTATTAGAATTAAGTCTATATAAGTAAGTCTCTCTACCCTCTATCTAAAAACATTGCAACTTCTGTCTGCCTTTAAAATTTCCATAACTTGTCTGATTACAGCTCAATGATGATGGCTTATTTACATTTGGGAGGATAAAAACTTGAGTTAAATCATTTTAACTATTATATTAGTAAGATCTACGACTGTGGGAAAAAATTAGACATAAGAAGAAAGATTGCAACAAATAAAAGAGTTGTGTTACCAAACAGCACAAAGGGTATTTGTCCCAAAGTCCTGCTTGTACCTAACAAAAACTTTCTGTCTCTTATTTGTACTTGTAGAGCTAAAAAAAATGAATAAACTTAAAATTTTGCAAGACCACAGTCCCTTCTTAGGAAATAAAACTAAAACAAATTGAAAAATAAAGACAGGACATGTTTTTACAACTGTGCTCGGAAATGGACTGAAACAATTATTAGCTTCTTTTCCCCCACTCCCACACAGCACTAGCTAGGATTACGTGTTTCTTATTCCATGGGTGATTTTTCCCTCTGTTGAGTTGTCCTTCATAATCATAATTTTTTTAAAAAAAGAATTAAAATTATTTAAATGAAAGTGTCAGTGTGATAAGAAGGAACAGAGAAACAGGAGCATCTTCAAAAACAAAAGAACAATCTGGAAATATTTTGTGAAAGGATGGAGGGGTGCCCTAAGGTCAAAGAAGAGATGTCATTAACTCCAACACAACAAAATCACAGTGTTTGAGCATGAATTCTAGAAACAGACCTTAGTCTACCTTTGTTCACTTCTGTTTCTTCCAGAATGCTATGGTAAATGGCATTTACCATAATAATAAGAGAAATGTTTGTAATTTCATGGAAACAATCTGTTCTCAAATATACCAAACTATCTCAAATATAGCAATAGTTTTATGTAAATGGTGCTTGTAATTAGAAACCTTTCTTCTTTGGCCATAAAATATGCCTGGTAGAATCTCAACTACCCAGACCTTTCCTGGATTAGATTTTCTTTATGTATCCATGAACAAAAACTGGTTTTCATTCCAAATTATTCTATATTTCTTAGCTTTCACAGACCCGGATTGGTCTTCTCTCTAGTGGGTCTCATTTAACAAAACTTTGTCTTTCTAGACTTGGGATAAAGCATTTAACTTCTCTTTAGAAAATAGCCAATGGGGGTTTTTACAGAGAGAAGACTAGGGTAGATTTTTCCTCTCTGCAAAATTTTCTCTCAACAGGATGTTCAAAAGCTGTTATTTACTAAATATATGCCTGCTATTTGCTTCTCGATTGTTAATCCTTCCTGACTTACATTTATCCAATATTTGCCCTTAGGAAGACAGATGAAGGGGAGCCTGTTACCTAGGCTTATAGAAGGGAGGGAACCTGCTTGAACAGCTAATTTATACCAACCACCGTATAATATACAATATAACCATTGCTGACAAACCTGTGTTGGAAAGCATTATCGCTCCCATTTTACTGACAAGGAAAACTGAAATCTGAAAGAAATATTACGTACATTGCCCAATGTGATAAACCAGGAGTAGCAATGTCTACTTCGGAGCATTCATCTAACAACCTGGCTTCATGTTGTAGGAAAACAAACAGAATGCAGAAGCTAGTATTTAGGAATCCAGGCTTAATTTTCCAGATCTGCTGAAAATGATGACTTAGACTCAGTAATCTTTCTAGAACTAGAACTAGTAGTGAAAGCTTTTCAGGGAGCATTCCATGAAACTGCCTGTTCCCCTAGCTCTAAACTTGCAGCTGGTCAGGTCTGTTGCCCCCCCTCCTAGCAATTTAGGAAAGATGAAATGGATTCAGGCAGGAAAGACTGGCTACACTGGTCCACTAAGGAGGTCAGAGTGGTCACAGATCGTGATGTGCCTGGTCGCATTTAGTGGTGACACCTCCTAGGATTAGGTAAAAAAAATTCTGAGAGTGGCAGCTTCATTTACAATCTTGCCTGAAATTCTGAGTGAAGGCTATAGAATAAGCAGGCAGAGGTCAGTAGTTAGTGGAAATGAGCCGTCTGGGGCATCTTTAAAGGAATTTAGACATTGCACACTTTTAAGTGAGAGAGACCTGGCTTCAAATTCAAGGTCCACAGGTTGCCAACTGGGGAAAGAAGTAATTATTTGGTACCTCTGTTTGTTGAATGGAGCTATTGCTGTCTATCTAAATGTGTGGGCATGAATATTGGTGATAATATTTATAAAGCATCCAGCATAGAGTCTGGCATATGATACGTATTAATAAATGATATTATGATCGTGATGACAAAGTTATAAACTTGACAGGTGTTTAGGCTCACTTTTCTATTTCTGTCACTACTGTGACCTCAATAACTGTTGGGATCTGCTATAGCCTTAAAGGATTAAGAAAATAAACCTCACTGTGGTTCATGTTGAACAGAGAAATTTGGCAGTGATGAGGAGAGCATACAGAAGAGCAAAGTAAATGTAAGCCACTGTGGTAGGTGCTAAAAGGAGGGATAAAAGTCAAAAAGAAACAGATTCTGCTGTCTGACCTCTCTTCCCAGGTGAGAAGAGGAAAGAGGGACTGGAAGGGGTCACTTTTGGATTCAGTCCAGGGAGAGGTATCCAGGAACTGAGATCAGGAAAGCAAGCTGGTGGGATAGTTCTGTTAAGTCTGAGTTGGATGAGTGAGAGATGGTGGCCCTGGGACAGGGATGTGGAACTATGACATAAGGATGGCCACAGAAGCTGCAACAAAAGAGAAGGAGGAGGAGGATTCAGGAAACAAATCCTGGGAAAATCCCCAGAGTACAAAGGACCTGCATGCCAAGGACTGAGCTTTGGGGCTGGCAGGAAGTTGGCAAGATTGAGTTTATAACGCAATTAACTATTGAGGAGGTAAGACTTATTAAAAAAACCAAAAGACAAAACAAATGTATACTGAATTCCTACTATGTGAAGGCATTGTGGTAGGTTCTAGAGACACAACATTAGGGAAAAAAATACAAAATTTTAGCTCTCATGTTTACAAGTATAATAAATGGAGGAGAGAGGGAAGGGAAGTGTTCTGTGTGCAAAGGCTTAATCATGTCCAATTGAGTTTTTACATAGTGAAGGGACCAGATTTCAGTTGGAGTTTGCAAAGTTCACACCCATGCTGTCAAAGCTCTCATCATCACAACCACATCCCCAATAAATACTGTTTCTTTCCCTTGGTTGAAATTTTGCTGATGCCCTGAGCCTGGCATGGACATTTTAAAGGTCTCAAGGTCTATCTGGGTCCCTGGAAATGAGGTGAACAGTCATTTGTTAAAGGTGTTAGTAAGGGAAGGTTTAGGAGAAACGTGGATAAATCTGGTTCCTGAGGAAAACGGGGTGCTTCATAGGGTGTCATGGAATATAAGGTATACAGTGTTCACTGCTGAGAAAAAGGAAAAATATGTTTCTTACTCAATTAGGGTAAAATAACCAAAACTCTGTTCTTTGATGGGACAGGTGCATCTGTATTCTTATACTGATGGAGACTTTGAGTCAGTCATGGCCTGAGCCAGGATTCCCAGGGGTTTCACATGACAGAAAAGGAAAGACTTTAGGGATGGTAATAATCTTTCAAAAAAGGGTGATGAAAGCCATCTGTGTTTGGGATTTCTCTCATAAGAAGATAGTTGTGTATTGCAGAAAAGATATAACTGTCTAAGAACCATGATAGGGTCACCAGAGGGAGCAGAGGCCTGATGTATCCAGTGCATTCTTTGGTCTGGACCCAGGAATCACTGCAGGCCACAACCATCACAATGTCGCTTGAACTTGCCCATAATCAGCCTGAACATCTTATGAAAACTGAGGGCTTGACAGGCTGACTGTCATAGCCTAACAGCATAGCACTGCATTTAGAAGAAAAGGCTCAGGAATTAGGCTGTGTTGGTTCCTAATCCTGACTCTCTATTGCATAGCTATATGACTTCAGTCATATCCTCTGCCTTTTGACTCCTTAATTTGTAAAACAGGGAGAGTTTACCTTCTGAAATGATTATTAAGAACTAAGTTGCATATGAAGGGCTTGTCACAGTGGCTGGGATCTGGTAAATATTAAATACATGTTATAAACCACCATCTTTACTATCCTCTTTTATTACCCATGGACCTTTCTATTACTCTTAGCCTCAGCACATGGAAATCAGATAGAGCATGAAGGAGCCTTTTCTTGAGCAAACACTCTGAATCTTCATATTGGAAGAAACTGACTTTCATATCCAGCTGAAGCCAAGTGACAACAAGGTTGGGGAATACAGAGGAGCTACTGGAGGAGTTGACTAGCTTCTTAGCATCAGGCCACTTGTTTGGGACACATAAGATAATAAAAATTAAACTGGACCCAAAGGATATAACATGTATCTGTCACTCACCTGGGCTGTGAGAAGTCATCCAAGCATGAGGAATATGTCAACCACAAATCAGGGGCCACCGTGTTTTAGCAGGTGACCCGATGTTTGAAAGTGTCAAATGTTTACTGAACTGAGGGATGAATGGGTTAGGAGTTAGAGAGTGTGTGGTACTATCTCGAGAATTTCTGGGAGTCCCCAAATCGCCAGGGGATAGAGCTGAGTGAAGATCTTGACAGTGAAGAAGGTATTATTTAGGACTGCCATGGATCTTGCAAGATGCAGCTCTGTGTACGCTTGGAGATGATGATGATGTGTCCCAAGAGGCCCATAAAACAAACGTCAGACTTGTATGGAAATGATATGTAGTCAGGTCTAATCAGAGAATGGTGAGTTGGTTCATACCTCAGGAAAACATCTTATTGTCAGGATGTGGGATATTATAGTGAGTTAGACTAGGGGTTTCATTTTAGACAAACCTGAGTTTGACTCCAGCTCTGGCTTTTATCAGATATATGAGTTTGAGCAAGTTACTTAAACTTTCTAAATCTTCATTTACCTTATCTGTAGCAATACTATAGATTTATTTTTAGCATAGGATTGTTATGATGACTAAATTAGATTAAATGTTGTAAGCACCCAATACATTTTAGTGCTATTGTTATTATGAATTAAATGGTCACTATCTGGTGATCCATCTGGAGCAGAGCCTCTCAAATTTTAATAGGCTCAGAGCCTTGCTAATCAAAGTGTGGAGGTTAGCCCAGCGAAACTCAGGAGAAATGCGGAATATCTGGTGTCAGAACTACTCAATCACATTATACATTTTAACAAGATCTGATTTACATGCATTTTATAGTTTAAGAAGCTCTGGTCTGGAAGACGTTCATTAAATCTGTAACACAGGTGAGGCATGGCAGAGACTACCGTAAAATGTGGCATATCAAGAGTGAACCCAGAGAACAGATATTTCCCCTTTTCATTCCTTACCAAAACACATTATGGATCTTATCTTACACACTCACCACTTCACCTATCCAACATACACAAAACACACCTAGATTTTAATATAGTTTCCAGCTTTCAGATAATATCTATATACTGGCAATCTCTCAGAGAGTAGATTTGCGTGTGTGTGTGTGTGTGTGTGTGTGTGTGTGTGTGTGTGTGTGTTGAGAATATTAAGGGCCCAATAATTGTTTCATAGTCTCTTCTTCAAGGAAAGATCATTTTAATTTGGCAACGGAGGTAGTTGAGATTTCATTAAGCAGAGGTAGGTGAAAAGGGTATTCCTAAAAGAGTAAAGACATGAGCAAAAGTAAGAGGCAGGGAAATTCTGTATAGTTCCATGAACTTGTAAGTAATTAAGCTTGAACAGAATAGGTAGTAGGTGATGTGAATAAAAACTGTTGTACGAAAGACTGGAAAGATATGTGAAATCCATGTCATAGAGGGCCTTAGTGCCTGTTTAGTATTTTAAATTTTATTCTGAAGGCTGGGAACAGCCTGTATATTTGTGTATCCTCCTTTCCCAGAAAGAGGGACCCATTGGAGGTGGCTCCAGAATCTTCAGTGTTGGAGATCTTGTTCTTCAGAATGAGCTGAAGGTAGAGCTTGAGAACCTGAAAACTTTTAGTGAAATTACTACCAGTTTAATTTTTCTACAAATGGTCCCATATTGCTGACTTTGTCATTTTACAGACCAAGGCTAATTGCCTGGTCATTCAAGGTCTACATTTGATTCACCTGTATGTGTGTCATTTGGGGATGATGCCCCACCATGTTTTGCTTCTGAATTAAGTCTGTTGGCATAGGTTCACTGTATCCATCCAGACTCCATTTTAGGAGGTTATTCTATGAATAACTGCTTAATCTGCCTAATAGATTATCTGCATTAGAGATGAGTAAATTGAACACAACTTCTTCAAAATGAGATGTCAAAGAGCTCTTCCCATGTACTGGAGAGTGTGCGAAGAAAGGACTGGGGAAGATCTTGCTCTCTTTCATTAGAAGGATAGGATTTGCCTAGGTACTACTGACCTATGGCATAATCTCTCCAAACCTATTTCAGATCATGTTAGTTTCAACTATCAATGTGAAGAGGAGGCAGGATAGAATCAAAATTTTAATAAAACCTAAATGAGTTACAGCTGCTTTTTTCTCTCTACCTCTGATCTTTCAGAGAAAATAAATTAATAGGTCTCATTCAGTTATCTTCACCAAGCCCTGCTGGTTGTTACCTAGTATCTCATATTCTCTTGGTTGTTAAGAGATTGTTGGCTACTGCCCAACATCTTCTCAGGTAATGATCTATAATTATCAGCTTCTCTTCCTGTTGGAAAGACGGGCAGGCCATTTCCTTCTTTTAATCCTTGGGTGTTTAATTCTGTCCTGTAGGATAATATCAAAGATAATAGCTGGTGGAGTTTTTTTATTCTTCTTATATATTTCATTTCTAAAGATAATATTTAAACCTACAAAACTACCTTTATAACAAGTCTTTTTTTTAAAAAAAAATTATCTTTATTGTTGATACTATTACAAATGTCCCCTTTGTTTTTTTTTTCTCATTGACCCCCTCCACCCAGCACCTGCACTTCCTAGGCCTTTCACCTCCCTGTTATCTTTGTCCATGGGTTATGCATATGTGCATACAAGTTCTTTGGTTTATCTCTTCCCACCTACCCACCCACCTCTGCCTTCCCTCTGATATTCCATAGTCTGTTCCATGCTTCTGTGTCTCTGGATCTATTTTGTTAATTATTATTAATTTTAAAAATATTTTTTCATTGTTTTTAGACAGAAAGGGAGAGGGAGAGAGAGAAAAACATCAATGATGAGAGGGAATCATGGATCGGCTACCTCCTGCACGCCCCCTACTGGGGATCAAGCCCGCAACCTGGGCATGTGCCCTTGACTGGAATAGAACCTGCGATCCTTCAGTCTGCAGGCTGATGCTCTATCCAGTGAGCCAAACTGGCTAGGACCAGATCTATTTTGTTCATCAGTTTATTTTGTTCATATGATTCCACATATGAGTGAGATCATGTGATACTTGTCTTTCTCTGACTGGTTAATTTCACTTAACATAATAATATTCAGGTCCATCCATGCTGTCTCAAAGGGTAAGAAACCCTTCTTTTATACAGATGCATAGTATTCCGTTGTATAAATGTACTGTAGCTTTTTTTATCCGCTCATCTGCTGCTGGGCCCTTGGGCAATTTACAGTAGTATCACTCAGATTATCCTTTTATTTTCTTCTTCAGAAACCGATATTCCTTTCGTTTAGAAATTCCCTTCATATAACAATTTTTTTTCTGTAGTTATTCTTTACCCCCTGACTTTAATTTGGAATGACTTTCTGCATTTTAAGATTCATAAAGTTGACATCAGGCCAATGGTAGACTGCCACCTGTCTGAGGAGATTTCTTTTGTTCTTTGATTTTTATTCGCACATCGTGGTGGTAGGCCTTATTCGGTTGTTCTAAACTCTGAGTGCACTTAAAAATCACTTAAGGAGCTTTGAAAACCACAAAAGTCTGGCTCTGTCTTCAAGGATTTTAACTCAATTGGTCTGAGACAAAGCCTGGGTGTGGGCATTTTAAAAACAAGTTTTACCTCATGATTCCAACAGGCAACCAGAGTTGAGAGCCACTGATCTAATCCAGCAGGAACTGGCAAAAAGTATCAGGTCCTTGTAAAGGAGGCTGTGCAGCCTTGCTGGGGCTTGGCATCTCCACATAGTAACCACCTTTCTTCTCTCCCCAGATGGTGCTTCTGGCCAGGTGTGAAGGACACTGCAGCCAGGCATCACGCTCTGAGCCCTTGGTGTCCTTCAGCACTGTCCTCAAGCAGCCCTTCCGCTCTTCCTGTCACTGCTGCCGTCCCCAGACCTCCAAGCTGAAAGCATTGAGGCTGCGCTGCTCAGGGGGCATGCGACTCACGGCCACCTACCGGTACATCCTCTCCTGTCACTGCGAGGAATGTGGCTCCTGAGACCTGCTGCTGAGTGGCTTTGGGATGGGACAACCTCCCTCCATCAGTGAGACAATTCCATCAGTCATGGACAGACTGGCAAGAAAGAAGTTAGGCAAAAAAAGATGCAGCAATTCCCATGGGATTCTGCATTTTTCAGTAATAAAGACTCCACATGCTTGTTGACAGAGAGAGATACTCTGGGAACCTGTTGTCCATTCCTGTCTCCTTTCCCTGGTACAATTTCTTCTGTTTCCTTTTCAGATTTAGGCATCTTCCCCTTTGGTGCTGAATGTTGTTTGAGTTTCCAAAAATTCAGCATTAGTGGGAAAAGTGGGCCCCCAGGCAAGAGTGGGTTAGACTGTTGCTGTCTGGTGCAGATTAGAGAAGCGTTCACTTTGGAAAACAGGAATGCCCAGTTCTTCCTGGGACATCAGCTAATCTTTATTTATCTTGTCATTTGCTCTAAAGTTGCCATTGCTGCTAACGATTCCCAATTTGAAATTCCAGGCATCAAGCATGTCGATATGTTTATTCAAGTTCAATCACAGCCAGCTGACATTCAAATAATTAAATATATTCTCTTAAACGATGCTGGGACTCCTGATAGCTGTAATTACTATTCAGAAATGACTTTTGGACGATAAAGGTGGCATAAGAATTTGTCATCTGAAGGCTCCCTCAGATAAATTATGGTAAAACTTTGTAAGGGAGCAGACTTTTAAAGACCTGCACAAATACAGATTCTGCACTGACTCTGAAAAGGGCATAAGTGTACTAGTGGCCTGGAGAATGCACTATACTCATGCATGCAAATTAGACAAGCAAGTATGAACCTATTTGTGGGTGTGCTATAGCTCTAGCCATGCTGCAGGCATTTTCTCCAACATCCACTGGACCATATGAAGCTTTCTGCCAAAATGGTGGCCTGGCTCATCTTCTAAACATTTGGTTTAAATATATTTTGGTCTCTGAGACTTCAAATTTGAGTCATTCCCATGTTGTGAAATAAAAAATGAGTATCGTCAAAATTCTGCTTAACCATTGTTTTTTCCTACTAAATATCTTACTTGGATGCATCTCTACTGTGTGTGCATTGTGGTGGTGGTGGTGGAGAAGTCCAGAAAAAGAGGGAGATATGGTTCCAGAATGCATGGTGGGGCATTTTTAAACTTGGCTTTTAGTCTCAGAATATAGTTTATTGAACAAACACAAAACCTGATGCATTCTGGCTTCCTTAGGCACTACAAAATAAAATGGAAAAGTTATAACCTATTTAATTCCTTCACTTTACCAGAAGAGAATAAATATTCATAAATGAAGTCTGAAGAACCAGAAAGAAGATAAATTGTTCACTACTATGGTTTCTGTGTCATTGACCATCCAGTGCTATAGGTCCAATGATACTCCTGAGCATTACAAGAACATTCACAGTGCTAACATAGTGCTGTGTCTGCTTTAGGCATCTCAACACTAACCCAGACTGGCAATTCAGTTTCCAGGGCAACCTTGACACCATGCTGTCTTGGCTCACCAGAAATGCCAGTGCACCCCACTGTTAGTACAGCCAACCTGTGAATTACTTTTCCTGTAGACATGATGGTTTTATAAACTCGTTGGCATAGCTTTCACACATTTTTAAAAAATCCAGCAGGGTTAAATTTGTATTTGTGCCTTTGGAGCAGAAAAAATATAATGCTATTAAGCCTTGACCTAAATCTTAACCTTCGTTGTGTCAGAGCCAGGCAGTCCACTAAATTGGCGGTTGTCTCATTTTGAAGGCAAATGTGAAATGTTAATTTGGACCATTATATGAAGAATATTTTTGTCATAAAAAAGAATTAAATTTAATACCTAAAGTTAAATGGTTATAATTCTTAACTGATAATGAAAGTATTAACCACTGGTCACATTTATAGCTATTCTTTCATGTCACTAATCAAAAAGTGGAAATAATACTGTAGCCTTAAAATATATCTTTCTGGCTTTGAAAACTCAATTTGCTTTAAGGGTCACATGGCCCAAATTCCAGTATTTATTTCCTTACTACCGTTTTGGGACTGGAAGGGGTAGTTATATGACTCATATTTTCCAAATTCCCTGGAAGCCATAGGAAATTTTCTCTTCAAATCCCATTACATGGTCTATTGTCAAAGCAGAATATGCTTGGAACAGTAGAGAATCATAGGACCGTGGCATTGAGGGGGGGGGCATTAAAAAGCAGCCATTCTCTTTTCTCCCTAAATTGATGAGCAAATGAAGGTCTGCAGAAAGTCAGGAGCTTGCCCAAAGTACCACACTTAGTTGTGGATTTGGAACTAGAACCAGAACCCAGGTTTCCAGCTCCAAAGCATGGTGTTTCCCTTCCTCCCTCTCCACCAGTAAAAGGAACCTTGCTCTTTTCAGGATTTTGGATTCTGAATATGGTGAATGGGTGAAAAAGGGTGCGACGAGACAGTCATGTCAAAATGGGGCACTTCAAGGCTGAGAAAGTGGGGAAAAAAACTTATATTTTCCCTAAAGCCTAAAAATAACCCTGGGAACTGAAAAAATTTAGACACTATTGGAGTTTAGATTACTATGGAATTTGTATTATATCTTTCAAAAATTAAACATACTTAGCCTTATTTTAATGTCTACCCTTGAGGGATTGAGAGAGAACCAAATGAAAACATTGATTGGTTAAAAACACTACTGCTGGAATGTGTAAGGAATGTTCATCCGTCTTTCCCATTTGTTATGCATGAATAAAGGCAGACTAAAATATGTTATAATCTTAGTAGCTTACATCCTAAACGTCTGTATGATAATCCATGATGGTGGAGAGCAAGACTCTTATAAAATGATCTTATCCTCATTATTTATAAGCATTTAACAATAATGAGCTAACACTGCACTGGAAGATAGAAGGATTATGGACTGAATTGATGTCTCAGTTTCCCACACCAATCTCTTAAGTCTCATTTGTGTAAGCTCCTGAACTTTCCCCAGAAACTTAAAATTAAAGAAAATCAACCCTTCGCTGAAACTGGTTTGGCTCAGTAGTAGAGCGTGGTTTGCGGATTGAAAGGTCCCAGGTTCGATTCTGGTCAAGGGCATGTACCTGAGTTGAGGGCACATCCCCAGTAGGGGGTGTGCAAGAGGCAGCTGGTCGATGTTTCTCTCTCATCGATGTTTCTATCTTTCTATATCTCTCCCTTTTTATCTGTAAAAAAATCAATAAAATATATATTTTTAAAAAAGAAATGAAAATCAACCCTTCTAGGTCCTGAGGAAATACATAATGGTTGATTTTCTAGTAAACTCAAGTGTTTGCTAATCTACCCAACACACTATTTTGTAGTAGGTAGAGTAGGATTGCATACGCACTATGACCAAGGAACTCTTTAAGTTGATTTCTTTCCTGAAACTTCGGAGAAATTAAGGCACAAATTTGGTTTTGGTCACTTCTTCAGGCATCATTAAAACATATACACTTGGCCCTGGCCAAGGTGGCACAGTTTATTAGAGGATTGTTCCTGCACCAAAAGGTTGCTGGTTCAATTCCCGGTCAGGGCATATACCAGTACATAGGTTTCAGGTTTGATCACCGGTTGCAGGAGGCAGTCAATTGATGTACCTCCTCTCTCTCTCTCTTTTTCCCTCCCTCCCTCCCTCTCTTCCTCCTTCCTTCCCTCCCTCCTTCCCTCCCTCTCCCTCTCTTTCTCCCTCTAAGATCAATTAAAAAGAAATTAATAAAATTAAATTATTACAGTAGTTTAAAAATAATGACCTTTTAAACACACACACACACACACACACACACACACACACACACACACACACCATATACATTTGAGAAAGACAGCTGCCAAGATGGAACACTGAATGCTTGGGGATCAATGGGTAAGAAGGCTTAGATCAGAAAGGAAACCCATATCCTGCTAATGGTGCTTTCTTCATGACCCTAGATGCAGCCACATCCTGGCAGAAAGACATACTCATTACCTTCAGAAGCTAGAACAGTGGAGAAGGTTGGATCTGGGAAGAGAGGTTCTGCACAAAGCTGTATCATTACATCCCCAGAGGAGTGCTTTACTTCATAATGTCTGTTTCAATGCACAAACAGGTACCCAGAAACTACTTGCTGAAGGACAGTATTTCGTGAGAAAATGCCAACACACCAATGTCTTCCTGTAAGTCTTCACTATATTAATGACATTTTTTTATTTATGCTACTATCAATCTATAACAGCATAGGCCTTTTCTTCAAATTGATTATGAATGTAATTCCAAATTCCACATTGAGTAAAGTCATTCTGTGCCTTCAAATATAAATGTCTCTTCTTATGTGGTAGACAGAACATTTTAAATTTGATGACTCTTGTGAACATGGATAAGCACCAGGGAAAGACTTGTTGCCTTAGCTGTTGATCTTCTTCAGAGACTGTCTCAGCTGCAGAGTTACCTTGCCCAAGGGCATTCTCTCCCAGGGGTAGTGGAAGAGTGATGGAGGATCCAAGGAGTGATGGAGGTGGGAGCATGAGAGCCTGACTATCTTGGCCTGATGCAAGACAACTCCAGTGGACAAACTTGGTTCCAGAGTTGTCCACTAGGCTGACCAAGGTATGCCAGTTCGACTTCTCTTTGTGCCCAAGCTTGCTTCTCCCCTGGCCTTCCATAGGTGCTGATCCCTGATAAATTCCCTGCACCACAGGCTCCATCTCAATATCTGACTCTTGGGAACCAAAGCCTGAAACAGTAACTTTAACATATTTTATGGTCTGTAAAAGGAAACACGTGCATCTAAGCTGTGTAGTCTCATTATGTGGTCCAATAATATTTAGGGTTAAGATTATGTTTCTGTTTCCTTTAAGTTCATAATTTAAATATATGTGCCGGGATCTACTATATTTCAGATTGCCAAATGCTGGAGATGTTGAGGTGAAAAGGGCATAGCCTAGCTTTATTATGTGTACAGGCTATAGAGGGCTAGAGATGACTATAATTAAGTGTACTGATGACATATAGAGATAATCTAC